CCCGCAGGGATCCTGGCGGCGCCTCCCCCAGCGTCACCCTGAAACCTCTCGGTTTTATCTCGGGGCCCAGGCACGGGGTCCCCGCTGGCGTTTGCGCGTAGTCGAGGGTGGCTGAGGTCTGCAAAGGGCTCTGGGGTGACGATGCCTCCTTCGGGGTTGGCGGGTCTCGCGGCTGCCGGCCTGATCCCCCCCTCGCTCCTCCCTGCAGGGACCCACGTGCCTGACCATGGGGCTCCTGAGCCGGGAAGCCTGGGCCCAGCGCCTGGGCGCCTTCCGGGCCAGCCCGTCCGCCTACATGGCAGCTCCTGAGGGTGAGGATCTGGGTCGTGACCTGCTGAGCGACCTGAGGAGTGAGAAGCTGAGCGAACAGACCAAGGTAGGCCCGGAACGCCCCGCCCCTGCCCTGGCCCGTATGGTGTCCTCAACCCACTGCGCTCTGAACTCCATCTTCTCCAAATCTCCCATCCCCAGGTTTCCATGTTGGCCCTGAGCTTGGAGTACCCAGCCCAGTTGTGGCCAGATGCCCCTGCAGCGGAGGCAGCTGCCACCTCCCTGTTGGATACCCTGGTCCTTTTACCCCCGCGGCCATCAGCTCTGCGGAGGCCCCTGTTGCTGGCAGCAACCACAGCCCTGGTGACCGGAGGTGTGCTCGGCCCCACCTCCGGGGCCTCCCTGCGGCTTCTGCCCCTGCTGCTCGGCTTGGCTTCAGGTGGTGATCTGGGGCGAGGCTTTGGCCCCTCCTCGGAGCAGCGACCCCTGCAGGCCACTGCGTGCGAGTGCCTGCGGGAGCTGGAGAGCTGCAAGCCTGGGCTGCTGGGGGGCTCCCTGGGGCTTCTTCGTGGCCTGTTGGGACAAGAGGGCCCCGTGGCCCCTGTCCAGCCACTCAGCCTGCTGCTGGCACTTGCCCTGCGAAACACCTTGGTGATACAGGCTAGGGCCAGGGCCAGCCTGCAGGGCCTGCTCACAGTCAGGGCTTCTCCCCCTGGGGGTGGCCCCTGGAACTGGACACTAGCTCAAGAGGGCGAGGCCCACCTTCAGCCCCAAGCGCCCAGCTGGCCGGCAGCTGAGGAGGAGTGTGGCCTTTCAGCGCTAGAGCCCAGCCCCGAAGAGGCCCGGGAGCTGCGGGCTGCAGTGGCCCAGCTTCTGGACACCTCGTACCTGCTCACACCTGTGGCCCAGGCCCAGCTTCTGTGGCTGCTGGGCTGGGCCCTGCGGGGTCTGCGGGGACAGCCTCCAGTGCTCTTCAAGCCACAGTTGGTACGGCTGCTGGGCACAGCCCAGCTGACACTGCTGCACGCTGTCCTGGCACTGAAGGCGGCCTTCGGCGAGGCACTGTTCACAGCCCAGGATGAGGCCTTGTTGCTCCGCCGGCTCACCTTGGCCGCGCAGCACCCAGCCCTGCCCCTGCCCGCCCATCTCTTCTACCTGCACTGCCTCCTGAGCTTCCCAGAGAACTGCCCGCTGGGCCCCGTCGGTGAGGAGGCTGCCCCGCTGCTGCTAGAACCGCAGCTCTGCCGTGGCCTCCTACCCAATCTCCTTCATGACCCGATGGCCCTGCTGGCCCGCCTGCACCTGCTGTGCCTTCTCTGTGCTGAGGACGAACAAAAGGAGGAGAAAGGACAGGCTCAGAGCCCCTGCCACTACTTGCAGGAACTCCTGGCCGGCCTGCAGCAGAGGGCGGCCCTGACCGGAGGCCCCCGGGCCTTGGCTACACTCTGCTTCCAGGCTTCATACCTCGTTGCTCACTGCCTGGCCGGGCACCATACAGTGCTGGCACCCTTGACCCACGGGCTGGCCCAGCTCTACCGAGCCCGGCCTGCGCTGGCTCCCCATTTTGTTGACCTCTTGGATCGAGTGGCCCCTGAGCTGGGGGAGCCCCTGAGGGTGGTGTTGCGGCAAGAGGTGGTGTCCAGGCCAGGTGGGGATGAGGCCCTTCGTTGGCACCTGCAGATGCTGGCAAAGGTGGCAGACAGGGATGCTCAGAGTGCCACCCTCGGTTTCCTGCAGGCCGCAGCTGCCCACTGCACGGACTGGGGCCTCCAGCAGGCCTTGCTGCGAGTCTGCCGGGCCCTGCTGCGGGCGGGTGGTGGGGGAGGCCTGGCAGACTTGCTGCAGGCATTGGCCAGGCAACTGGAGGACCCTGATGGGCGGGACCACGCCCGCCTCTACTACGTCCTCCTGAGCCACCTGTCAGGGCCCAAGCTGGGGGTGGCCCTGGGCCCCTCCCTTGCTGCACCTGCACTGACCTCTTCGCTGGTGGCCGAGAACCAGGGCTTTGCCACGGCACTGATGGTGCAGGAGGCCCCAGCCCCGATTCGGCTGAGCGTGGGGCCCCGAAGGGCTGAGGGCCCGGTCCCAGTGCTGCAGCTCCAGGTAGAGGTGCTGGAGCCCGTGTACTCTCTGGAACTGCGCTTCCGAGTGGAAGGACAGCTCTATGCACCTCTAGGGGCTGTCCACGTGCCCTGCCTGTGCCCTGGCCGCCCGGCCCGCCCTCTGCTCCTGCCCCTGCAGCCCCGGCGCCCAGCCCCCGCACAGCTGGATATCCGTGCTCTTTACACCAAATCCACTGGCCTCACATGCTATACCCACCTGCCACCCCTGCCTGTGAAATTCGCTGACCTCTTCCTGCCTTTCCCGAAGGCCCCTGAGGGTGCCAGGTTAGGCTTCTTTGAGGAACTGTGGGACTCGTGCCTGCCAAAGGGCACCGAGAGTCGCCTGTGGTGCCCTCTTGGGCCACAGGGTCTGGAGGCCTTGGTGTCACGCCACCTGGAGCCCTTTGTAGTGGTGGCCCGGCCCCCCACTAGCTACCACATAGCCATCCGCCTGCCCCCAGACTCAAAGCTGCTGCTGCGGCTGGAGGCAGCCCAGGCGGACGGAGTGCCCGTGGTCCTGCGGACGGATGACTGGGCTGTGCTGCCCCTGGTGGGGGACTACCTCCGAGGGCTGTCAGCTGCGGTCTGAGCCCCAGCTGGGCTGGGCCAGGTGGGAACAGGACTGTGGCCCTTACAGGGTCTTGTCTAAGAGGGGCAGGTGCAGAGCAGGACCCAGTCCTATGGATCCTTTTTTTAAAAACCTCCGTTCACCAATGACCCTCGTTTGTTTTCTTCTGGGCCCTAATTGGGAGCAGAACCACTGGGATGGGGTCAGAGGCTCCCCGAAAGCTTCTAGAGTAGGAACCCCCCAGATTGCAGGGCTCCAAAGTACCCTCCTGGCAAACAGCCTGGGATTCTCCAGAGTCTCTGCCCAGGAGGCAGGAGAAAAAACATCCTCATCTCTGCCTCCCAGAGGGTCTGGTCTTGCCCAAAGCTCCCAGCAATTTAGGAACGAGCCTGGAGCTGGGCGTGGCCTCCTCACCTGTGGGCCTGCGCTTTTCAGCTCCTGAGGGTTGCAGGGTCCCTGACCCCGGGAGCTTAGGCTAGAAACAGTGAGGAGACTGCAGTGGCCTCTTCCCTGGGGAGTGAGGCTCCCCCAGGCTGGGGAGGGGAGCCAGCTCTAGGAAGGGCCTGCTGGTACAGTTTCAAGGCTGAGGGGGCCCCATGGTCTGGGCTAAAATGAAGCTGGGTTTTCCTTACCCCATCAGTGGACCTCGAAATCTTCCTCTAAGAACCACCCCCTCGTTCTTATTCCAAATATGCAAAATACTCAGGATTCCGATGTGTTTTTTGAATCCTCACTGGAGAGTGTGTGTATGGCTTGACAGTGCTGCTCAGTGGATAGAGTGTCGGCCCTCAAACCGAAGGGTCCTGGGTTCAGTTCTGATCAAAGGCACGTACCTGGGTTGCAGGCTCAGTCCGTGCCCCAGTAGGGGCACATGCGGGAGGCAGCCAATGTGTCTTTCACATTGATGTTTTCTGTCTTTCCCCCTCCCTTCTACTCTAAATATCTATGGGAAAACACCCTTGAGTGAGGATTAACCTAAATAAGTAAACACAGATATGTGTGTGTGTGTGTGTGTATATATATATATATATATATATATTTTTTTTCCCATTGATTTTTAGAGAGAGTGGAAGGGAAGGAAGGACAGAGAGAAGCATTGATGCTAGAGAGACATCGATTGCCTCCTGCACACCACGTCTGGGGCATGGTGTAGAGGTTTACCATCCCGGAGCAGGTTTCTGTTGCCACACTCATCAGAGCAAAGCCCCATATTTTTTTTTTTTTCCATTGATTTTTAGAGAGAGTGGAAGGGAAGGAAGGACAGAGAGAAGCATTGATGCTAGAGAGACATCGATTGCCTCCTGCACACCACGTCTGGGGCATGGTGTAGAGGTTTACCATCCCGGAGCGGGTTTCTGTTGCCACACTCATCAGAGCAAAGCCCCGCACGGGCCATGGGGACACCGCCCCCACCCTCTGCCCTGGGGCCAGCCCCCAGGAGCTCACGGGAGCAGCAGTCAGCAGTGCTGGGTGGAGAATGGCCAGAGGCTTGGGCCTCACGTCTTGGCGGGAGGGCCTCTCTGCCACCCTGCCTCCTGGGCCCCCAGCCGAGCCTCTCCTGTCGGGCTGCCTGCGAGAGGAAAGAAGGGCCTGGGACAAGGGGGGCCGGTACAGGTCGGCGGTCAGGCGGTCTGTCCCAAGGTTGAGCCCCAGCGACTTGCTGTAGGATCCGGGCAAACCCTGCAACACGCTTCTCCAGCTGCTTCCAGCAGAAAGGATCTAAGGCAGAACCGGATGCTTAAGCCAGGGGTCCTCAAACTACGGCCCGCGGGCCACATGCAAATACAAATATTGTATTTGTTCCCGTTTTGTTTTTTTACTTCAAAATAAGATATGTGCAGTGTGCATAGGAATTTGTTCATAGTTTTTTTTTAAACTATAGTCCGGCCCTCCAACGGTCTGAGGGACAGTGAACTGGCCCCCTGTTTAAAAAGTTTCAGGACCCCTGACTTAGACATCCCCAGTGGGAGGTGTGCAGGAGGCAGCTGATCGATGTTCCTCTCTCATCGATGTTTCTAACTCTCTATCCCTCTCCCTTCCTCTCTGTGAAAAATCAATAAAATATATTTTAAAAAAATTAAAAAAAAATAATAAAAAGTTTGAGGACCCCTGGCTTAAACCCCTGGGGAGGCTGGAGAATGGGCCTGCAGGAGGCTACTGCTGGGCTGTTGGGTTCCAGAACGTACTCCCCTGCCTGCAGTCCAGCTGTCAGCACCCAGGAAGCTGGGCCTGGCCCTGGAACATGGGGTGGGGCTGCCATCACTGCCTCGACTCTGCCCACAAAGCCAGGGAGCTGAGGCTGCTGCAGAAAGACTGGAGCTTCCCCAGCTGCAAATGGCTGCGGCCTCACTTCCCCATCCACACTGTTCAGAGGGCATCTAGTGAGTGGGACCTATTTCTCAGGCACCACAGCTGTAACTATTAATTTTTTAAAAATCCTCAGCCAAGGATATGTTTTTTTTAAAAATTGATTTTAGAGAGAGGGGAAGGGAGAGAGAAATATTGATGTGAGAAACATCAATTGGTTGCCTCTTTACACGCTCTGACCAGGGATTGAACCCGCGGCCTTTTGGTGTGGGCTGATACTCCCTCCAACCACCTGAGCCACCTGGCCAGGGCTGAATTACTCTTGAAGACAGAGGACAGCTGTGACTCTTGGGGTCGCGGGTACCCAGCTGGCTGCAGGCTTCCTTTCTCCACACTCAGGTTTTGCCTCTCCCTGTCATCTCTTGCAAGGGGAGGGGCTGGGGTGGAGTAGGAGAAGAAGGTAGAGTGTAGTCAACCCAGAATTGGGTGGTGGGGAGCTCACTGAGAGTGCCTGCTGTGGGACCTGGGCTGGGGTGTGCCTGCTGTTGGCACATGGACCATTCTGGTGTCTTAACTGTCCATCTTTCTGTGCTGCCACGGCTGGGACCTGAGTTGCAGCCGTAAGTCACACCCTGGGCATCTCTGGGCGTTTTTTGGGCTGTACAGCTACTGTGTAACGCACTTGCATCCAGCTGTGGCCCCAACCCCTGGCGCTGCAGGAGGTTCGGTGCCCAGACCACAGCCTACAGCCCTTGACCTGTGGAGGCATGAATGGGTATGATGGATGGAAGGATGGCTGGTGAGTCCTTACATGGGCCGATTATCTGAATCTTGGGCAAAGGATTAATGCCATCTTCTGCATCTGAAGTCAAAAAGAAAGCAGGTGCGTTTTCCGGACTCGTATGGTACCTGGGAAATTTGCTGTGGTGAAAATGTTTAAATATCAAAGAACTTCCGACACAGTATTCACACATCTCCCAAGCAACTCTTCCAGAAGGAGGCCCTGTCAAATATAGACAGCTCTGCCAGCCTCAGCGGAGCCATCGAACGAAGCCACAGAAACCCCGAGGATCACAGGTCCAACTTTTTAAAGGCCCACGGGACCCAGTTCAGGACAGGTAAGACACACAAACCACCTACTCTTTCAGGCTCAACTGCAAAAACTGGCTTCCCCCCGGCCAGCCCCTCCTACTACAGGAGCTGGGGCCCCAAACTAAGGACCCTCCTGGCCTCAGACTCCCAGACTCTAGAGGTGGTGTCCTCTGACACCTGAAATCAGGCGAGGAGGGACCGCACACCTCAGCCCCAGAGCAGCGCTGGACACACTGCAGGCAACATGAAAACAACTGCAAAGAAGACGAGGGGCCTCTTTTTGGTCCAAGAAAGACCAAGTCCACTCTAAGTCTGGAGGGTTAGGGCTGGGACTACAGGGAGGGGGTTTTGAGTGTATGTACCACTTGAAGGGGCAGCCTTTGAAACATGTAATCTCTGGGAGAGCAAAACACACGAAAAGGAAGGAAGTCATTTGGGTGTGAAAGGGGAAGTAAATGGAGAAATGTCATGGTTCTGCAAGACAAAACAAAATCAGAGGCCCTACAACTCCGCCCCCATCTACAAACAAATCTGGACTCAGCAGTGTTGACAGAAGAGGGTGCATTAAACAGGGATTTTATAAAACACCCAACAGCACAGCAATGAACAAGATAAAGATTAACAGGTTTGTACAGAGTTATTGCAAAATATCAGAAAATGAATCTCATCATCTATCAAAGTAGTCCATACACGTCCCCCTGGAAAGGCAGCCTGGAAACAGAAGAAAGCTGTAATACAACACTCTAAACAGGGCAAAACAGATCAAAACCACCTTGGATGAGAAACTTAAAAAGAAAAGAAATAGACAAAACCCAGGAAGAAATAAACAAGATAAAAGAAACACAAAAGGCCCTAGCCTGCCTGGCTCAGTGGATAGAGCGTCTGCCTGCGGACTGAAGGGTCATGGGTTCAATTCCGGTCAAGGGCATATGCCTGGGTTGTGGCTCGATCCCCAGTAGGGGGCATGCAGGAGGCAGCCGATCAATGATTCTCATCATTGATGTTTCTATCTCTTCCTCTCCCTTCCTCTCTGAAATCAATAAAAATATATTTTAAAAAACACAAAAGTATCTAGAAATAAAGATTACATTACAAGATGCCCAATGGAGAATAGACTCAAAATATAATAAGGGGCATTGAAGAAAGACAAAAACAAGAGAATGAAAATGAGACAAAGGGGTCACAAGATAGTAATGAAAACAGAAGATAGTCAAAGAAGGAATCGCATTTGCATTATAGGGTCCCTGAAGAAAAACTAACGGATGAACCAGCACCAATATTTACTACTGCATTCTAAGAAAAACTTCCCAAGAAAGAAAAATCTGCACATTCAAAGGAAAATTAACTTGGAACAGTCAACTTACTTTGCGACATCCTCATAAAACTATTAGTTTTCTGCTTTTTTTTTCAACAAAAATCCCCAAGATCTCCAAGCAGAAAGATCAAATAACTTACAGAGGCAAAAGAGTCAAAATGGCACATAAAAAGCAAGACAACATTTGGAGCAGCATCTATTAAACATTTAAGGGTAAACCAAGGTTTTTATATTCGCACGGATTGTCCGTGTCAAGGCTTTAGGAAACAGTTTTGTGTTTTTCAACAAGTATTTATGCACCCATAAGGGAATCTGATAGAGAATGCACTTCATCCAACTGAGAGATAATGAGCATGTGTGTGTGTTTATCTAAACATATGATCCAGGACTAAAACAAAGGTGGGCATGAGGGTAAATAAATAAATAGATCATATATCATCATGAAGTAGAAATAATATCACTAAAGGCATGAGAGCGCCAGTGGGTGTGGCTCAGTGGTTGAGCATTGGCCCATGACCCAGGAGGTCACCCCCAGGGCATGTGCCTGAGTTGCAGGCTCAATCCCCAGTAGGGGTTGTGCAGGAGGCTGCAGATCAAAGATTCTCATCATTGATGTCTCCCTCTCCCTCTCTGAAGTAAATTTAAAAAAATATTTTAAAAAAGCATGGGAGAAGGGAGAGGGAAGTAGGAAAGTAAGATAAGCTGACTGGTGGCTGTGTAGGTGCCTCTCAGCTCCAAATTCATTCTTCATTGCCTGCTCTGAAAATGGGCCTGGACCCTTTACCTTTGCCAGCTGGCGCATTATTAAGCTCTGTCGGTAGAGGGCGCAGGGGAGCCATTGCAGAAGGGCTTTTGCAAACTTCCTCCTGTGTGCTGACGGGACAATTTCTTCAAGCTTGTCTGGTACCCAAGGTCCTCCAGCAGCTGCCATGGTCAGTGCTCATGGCTTCTCCAGCACCAAGCTCCTGCGGGGTGCAGCAACCAGCAGTACAGC